CTGCTCAGCTCTTTTTGCTAATTCACGCTGTATTTTCCTCTTTTCCAACAGATCCTGCTCAAGTCTGCGTTTTCTTTCCTCTTCCGTTCTCTTCCTTTGTTCTTCCTGTCTGTGTTTCTCCATTTCATCAAATTTACCTTTAACTGTCCCTAAGAATACACAAAACATATTGTCTATTTTGCTATGTTTCTTTCTCTTGCACTCCCTCCCTCTTACGTTTATCCCTCCAGGTTCTTACCTGTTAGCTTTGGGACATAAGCCTTTTCTATTTTAGCAGAAATCTCTTCCTCATCATCAGAAGCAAGCATTTCTTTAATCTAGGTGGTTAAATAAATTAATTTTAATAAATAAATATTTTTGTAATAATAATAAATAACTATTTTAATAAATAATTGTAATAGTTAAATAATAAATAAATTAATATGAACACATGTCCCAACATCAGACTAGATTATATTAGAATAGCTGCCCAGCTGCAGGAGAACCCACTAGGATATCTAATGGATTCCTGAAACACGGATAAGTCTGAGCCCTGTGCATGCTGTTTTTTCTTGTATTAAATCATAATATATTCAAATAAGAAAAATAATTTTTCATAGGTCTTATAGTTTAGGTAAATTTCAACTTATACATTAGTTACAGTAAGAAAATAAGAACAAGTAATTATAAAAGAATAATTATGAAAACGTATTGTAATGAAATTTATTTAAAGCTCTTGTTTTCTTCTGGAAACTTCAATTTACTATTTTAGACGATGGTTGACTGCAGGCAATGAAAGCAGTGGGGAGACTGCAGAGAAGGGGCTGATGCACACAGTGGGGAGACACTGTAGAGGAGGGGCTGATGCACACAGTGGGGAGACACTGCAGAGGAGGGGCTGATGCACACAGTAGGGAGACACTGTAGAGGAGGGGGCTGATGCACACACAGTTTAAATTAGGTTAAAAATATAGACAAGCATTTTTATTATAGTTTATATGAAATGTTAGTGTCGATAATGCATTAAAATGAAGAAAATTAAGTTTTCACAAGAATAAAATAAAATGACCTCCTGCTTTCTCCTGTTCCATTCTCTCTCTCTAATATATTGTTCTTTTCTTCTTTGCTTTTCGTCTCTAGACCGCCTCTGATTTCTCTCTTCCCTGGCCTTCTGCATGGCTTCAAACTTATCCTTTACATCACCCTTGCCCAGCTTTGGCACATAGGATTTGGGGACAGGTTTAGATGAAGAAAGCAGAATCTTCGTTAGATGAAAATAAAGAGAAGGAAGTTTAAAAAGAAGAAGAAATTAGGCAGAGATAAGAGTAAGACACATTAAAATAATTATCAAAACAAACAGAAACAAGTTCAAACCTTTATTTGGATCACCACAGCCTGATTAGATGGTCTCTAAAACTTCAGTTAATTTGAAGTTACAGTAAACATAAGAACAGAAGTTTTGTTACATCAAAACTTTGGAAACAAAACCCCAGTAGAGGTAGCATTCTACTGAGCCTGACGGCCAGTAAAATATAAAAATTAAATACTCAACTCTAAAAACGACTTGTATTTTATTTTCCCACCCTATTATTAAAGATTCGGATTGGGGATTCACATCACTCCCTCACAAATTAACAAGGTCAATCTCAGTAAAGTGTATGAATTCGAAACAAAATATAAGATTGGGCTTTCAAGGTAAAGCCCACATTACAAATAGGATTATTGCTGTTTTATTAGATAAGATAGTCAAAGCCGAAGGCCAGTTTAACCCCGCAAGAGATGAGTCATGTTTCATGCTATGCTGCCCATGTGTAACTTCCTAGAACCTCACTAGAGTGTGCAGGGTGGCCACACCAACTGAGTAGAATAGGCTCTAAAAGGAAAACCCTAAAGAAGGGAAGTCTGAGACTAGAACAATGGCTTCTCCTCATCTAAAACTAGGAATGTAGATTCTTCTCATCTTTTCAGAAGTTAGTTTCTAAGTGTCAGAATGCCAAACTCTCCTAATGACAAGGACAAGCGGCTTGCTGATCGGTGACAGATCTGGTTCACACTTATCTACTATGTGTCACTGGCCCATTCAGGTTTCTTAGCTTGTCACTTCTGAGTGTCAGCATCGGGGGTCTCTCAATTCTCAGTCACTATAGCAAAGAAGCTGAAAAGGGGTGAAGCTAAGAGGACTTTTACTGAGGTGCTTGAAGATGCTAAGAGTCCTCCTTTTCAGAGTGAATTATCACCTCTAAAGGTCCCAGCCTCAGTAAAACTACATTGAAGGCGTCCTTTCTAAGACCAATGTATTTAAAATTCTATGTAATATGCTAGCCCTTATCACTCGCTTCACTGCCTTCCAGAAGTTCAATATGCATGCTTCTCAGAATCCAGACTAAAGTACTAACCCAAAACAGTGTGTGAACTTAACTTTCTCTCATTGTACATCCTGATGTTACCAATTACAAACACCTAAAGATGACCCTTCCCACAACCCTCCAGTCAGTCAACTATACATTGTTCATCTCTTCCTCCCTTCCCTTCCAAGTCTTTTCCTGCCTCCCCCTCCTACGTGTACACACACACACACACACACACACAGCTTTTGAGATTAACTTACCTCTGCCTTTTGTGAAACGTCATTCATGTTTGCTCTATGTGGTTTGGGGCTGAAGCTTTGTATTTATTTGTACCTGTAAAATAACAATAACAACATTACTGGGTGTGGGTAGCACACACACCTTTTTCTTTTTAATTTATTGATCTTTATTTTATGTGCTTTGATGTTTTGCCTGCACGTGTGTCTGTGTGAGGGTGTCAGATCTTGGAGGTACAGACAGTTGTGAGCTGCCATATGGGTATTGGGAATTGAATCCAGATCCTCTGGAAGTGCTCTTAACCATTGAGCATCTCTCCAGCCCCAGCATAAACACCTTTAATCCCAGTACTTGGGAGGCAGAGACAGGCAGATCTCTTGGAGTTAAGGCCAACAGGGTCTACATAAAGAGCCCCAGGTCAGCCAAGGCTACAAAGTGAGATCTTGTCTCAAACAAAAAAACAAGTTAATATTGTAGAAGAATTTCAATAACCTTCCCTTTGATATATTGCATATTTTATCAATATAAATTTATAAACATAGGATTTATATACTTATATAGAAATATATAATTTTTAAATTATAAATTTCCCTTCAGAAATTCAAATAAGTAATTATTGTAATAATCTTCAGCTCCTTTAAGATTTGTGGTACAGAAAGGGCCTTTAGAAGGCCCAAGAAAGTGTATAGCCCAGAGGAGCTTGGTAAGCCTGCAAAAGCACTTGAAAAGTGTGTACTATGTATTTACTCAGTAGATGAGGCTATAAGCACCAGAGAGATGGAGGTTGGTTGGCCACATTTCCTTTAAATCCATCCTTTTATTTCCTGTAATTTGACTCTTAAAATATGACCACACTTTGATTGTAATATAGCCTCTAAAATTGTCCCTTTCAAGCTGCTGGTGGCATACACCTTTAATCCCACTGAATAATAGCTGGTTATATAATTGTCCATTTACCTAATGAAAAATATTTTGGCTATGTCTGTTTTGGTAATTGTAAATAAAACTGATATTAAACATCCACGTGCAGGCTTTTACATGGACAAACTTTTAAAATCCCTCAGAGTAAATACCAAGTCATGATTGCTGGATGGCATGGTAAGAGTGTTTATCATAGTCAAATGGCAAACTGACTTTCAAAGGGGTGCAAGGTGCTGCATTCTCCTGAGCAGTATAGGAGAATCTGGTGGTTCTCCCTCTGTCCCTTGATGCCAGTGTCTGGGCTGTGGTTATTGTAATACTGAAGGCTATCTCATCTTAATTTGCATTCTCTGATAACATGATACATTTTCCATATGCTCACTTTCCATGGGCATATCTTCTTTACTGAGATGTCCGTAGTCTTTGTTGATTTGCAGGAGGGTTTTTTGTTTGTTTTGTGTTTGAGACAAGGTCTCACTACATGGCTAAGGCTGACCTGGAACTTTCAATCCCCTCTAGTCTGCCTCCTGAATGCTGGGATTATAGGCATGGCCACTATACCCATAACATGATAATCACCATTCAATGATAGCATAGAAATTGGGGTTCTGTTTATTACACTAGTACCCTATGCTGAGGAATGGAGCCTTGAGGAGACACTGTCCCCATCCTCTGTTCTTAACAACTGCCTTGAACCAGGTTGTAGTAGTCTACTTTTATCTGAACAGTTTCAAAGGCTCCAACCCAGCTCTGCTAGGACGAGAAGGCAGTAGAGTTAGACACCTAGTGACCTGCATTCTGCATTTATGTTCTGCATTGCTCTTCCTTCCGTTCCTGGCACACTCTGTGCTCCCTGCCCAGGTTATAAGGAATCAGGTGCTTTCTGGAGTCACCTTCCCATCGTGGAAATCTTCACAACACTCATGCAAAAACTGACAAGTCTGAAGGATTGGTAGGAGTTGGGAGCACATGTAAGTGTGAGTGCTTGTGTGTTCACGTGCCTGTGTATGCACATGCATGCATGTCTGTGTTTAGAGGTAGAAACAGTCTCTCATTGAACTGCCTGTTACTGAATTCTGGCCAGCCAGTGAACTCCAGGGACCCACCAGCTCCCTGCTAGGGCTGTGGGTGTTGTACGCACTGCACTCATCTTTATATGTGAGAGCTAGGGATCCAAACTCAGACGTCCAGGTTTGTGCAGCAGATGCTTTGCTGGCTGAGCTGTCTCTATAGCCCTCAGCTTCCATTCTCATTATAAACTATCTGTACAGTAATTTTAAAGCAGTCTTTTAGGGCCCTCTTCTCAAATTACGAGCATCACACATTAGCCACATACAACCTTGGTACAACATTCACATGTCAATAGGTAGCTGTGACAATCTGACTCATTTACTATCTTCTTCTCCGCTTCTGTACATTACAGCCAACGTCATGAGGAGGAACTTGCTTTCTTTTGCAGAGGAGCTGCTTCTTTTTTTTTTTTTTTTTTTTTTTTTTGTTTTTCATGACAGGGTTTCTCTGTGTAGCTTTGCGCCTTTCCTGGATCTCACTTGGTAGCCCAGGCTGGCCTCGAACTCACAGAGATCCACCTGGCTCTGCCTCCCGAGTGCTGGGATTAAAGGCGTGCGCCACCACCGCCCGGCCTATAGGAGCTGCTTCTTAATCCAACATAACCATGCTTATCAGAATTGTTCATATACATCCTATAAATTGATAGTACTCATTTAGCACTTTATTTTCCTCCAGAATCTCTGCCACTATTCTCATACTATCAATTCCTTTTCAATTGGTGCCAAGATGCCATGAAAATATAGTCACCTCACTGCTATAGGGCTCCTGTTCTAATATAGCTTCTGTAAAATGGTTAACTAATAGGAAGTCCAGCATAACAATTACAAGTATACATTCTTGGTAATAGAGTGTAGAAGCTCCACAGTAATGCTTAGCAATGGTTCTTCTGATCTGTCTCTAGAGTCAGATTCTGTGTCCAGGTTCTCATGCAGTCCTTTCTCTGTGTTCCTTATCTCTGGTCTGTCCCTGAAGGTAATGGCAGCAAAGTGCCCTCTGGGCCAGAATGAAGAGTCCTCAGCTGGCTAAGCCTCTTGCAGGTTACCGCAGACTCCAGGATTTCCTTCCTCCATCCTGAAAAATACATTCAGTAACCGATACCTACCTCCAAGACCTTTGGAAAGTCATTTCTTTACAAATGACGTGTTTTCCAAAATTAAATAATAAAATTGATATTCTGTATGTTACCCTTAAACATGGTTTCTCCTCCTTTAGTATAAGATTTTTAAATCTACTTAGGTTTTTAGGTATATCTGACAAGTTTTAAATATATATTGTTAAACATACACTATAAGCCTATATTTTTTACCTTTATATTTGAATTTTTTCTGCATATAAAATTAGAAACCTCTGATATGAATCCTCACAGATCCATACCCAGGTTCCAACAGGGGTCAACTTGTCTTAAACCAGTCTGTTTTCATGTATCTTGTATAACGTGTATTTCAGCACAGTATATTCTTCAGATGCCTCTACTTTATACATGCTTTCATCTTATCCAGTTACCACAGCACATGCTCACATCATGTGTGCAGGACACCCTCCTATCCAATCATGTCCCTGCCAGGGAAAAGACTAAGTTAACCACTCAAAACAGGTGGTAAGGTCCATTGGATGATGTTATAAAATAAGCAATGAAAAGGTCCTTTTTTTAAAAAAAGACAAAAATACAGGGTCTAGCTACATTGCCCTGGCTCTGCTGGAACTCACCATGTAGACTAGGCAGTCTTGAACTCATGGAGATCTACCTGCCTCTGCCTCCTGAATGCTAGGATTCAAGAGTGTGCCACCACACCCAGCACAAATATAAGGATGTGTGTGTGTGTGTGTGTGTGTGTGTGTGTGTGTGTGTGTGTGTGTGTGTGTTTCGAGATAGGGTTTCTCTGTGTAGTTTTGGAGCCTGTCCTGGATCTCGCTCTGTAGACCAGGCTGGCCTTGAACTCAGAGATCTACCTGGCTCTGCCTCCTGAGCGCTGGGATTAAAGGCGTGCGCCGCCGCCACTACTACTAATACCACCACTACTACCACCACCACCACCACCACTACCACCACCACCACCACTACCACCACCACCACCCTGGCTTAGATATAAGGATTTAAAACAAACACAAACAAGCATGTCAGGAAAGACTGAGAGCTTCTGTGCTAAGTTAAGAAGAAGGATGGAAACAATGTGTGTGCTGTGTGCTAAGTGATGGAAACAAACCACGTGACGTGTATGCTGTGTACCAAGAGGCTCCCATTTTATAGTTTTAAAGCTGATGAATATGACAGAACCAAGAAATGAGGAAATTGGCTAAGGTGGAGGCTTGTGAGAGGACTCAGGGGTAATGGCCACCTGAGTTCCAGTCCTGGAACCCACATAAGGTGGGAAGAGCATTGATACCAGGAAGTTGTCCTCTGACCTGTACCCACACACTGTAGCATGCCCCACTCCCACTGACAATGACTGTTTAGTTTTTCAAGACATAGTGATTTTTAAAAGATAAAATAGATAAACATGGGTGCTGGAGAGATGGCCCAGCAGTTAATAGCACTGTCTCTCCTGCAGAGGACCTAGATTCAGTTCCCATCACGTATATTCCTGCCTTGAACCATCTGTTAACTCCAGTTCCAGAGAATCCAACACCCTCTTCTGGTTTCTGCAGACACCAGGCATGTACATAGTGCACAGACATACATGTACGCAAAACACTCATACACATAAAATAAAATAAATCTTTAAAAAATTAATAAACATGTAAATTCAGAAATGTTTGCTGAGCATCTTTCTACAATCTGTTAGGATCAGTCCATGGTCCTATTATACAATGACAAACAGGATAAGCTATCTGTTCTCATAGAATTCAAAGTCTACACAGGATACCAAAGAACTATAAAAAAATATAAGGCTCTCACAGAAATTATTTATTCACTTATTTGTGTATGACTGTGGGCATGCCCGTGCACAGGACACATCTGGAGGTCAAAGGACAACCCTCAGCTCTCTCCTATCATGTGGATCTCAGGCATGGAAGTCAGGTCCCCAGGCATGGCAGTGAGCAACTTTATCTGCGGAGCCATCTCTCCAGCCAAAGTTTCTGTTCTGAGATCAGAAAATACATTA